ATGCAAACCAATTTTTGGTGACCAACATTTTTTCACTGGTTGTCCTATCTATATGTTTTTTGGTTAGTGGTACTAGAGAGCCAATTGATTCTATGATCAAAAAAGCCGAGCATGAGATCATAAAAACAGGACTAGAAGCTGGAACATGCACAACAATGGATGCAGCTATAAGCGCATACATTAGAACTAGTACGAGACTTAGGCAATGTGAATACTGTATTGTATTCCAAAAGAGGTAATTCCTATCGCGGTAATAGCTACAGAGGTAATTATCGTGGTAGAGGAAATGCCCGTTATAATAACAGGAGCAACTCTAATAATAACAACAATAATCAAAATAACATCAATAATAATAGAGGTCGTGGTAACACGAATAGAATTATAATAAGCAGAACAGGAGTAATAATACTAACAATAACATTTATAATGTTAGATTAGCCCAGAATAACTCGGGAAACTTTCAACAACCTTAAGATTCGCAACAATAGAGAACAACAAGGTTTACACCATCAATCTCAATCTTAAGATATTTGTATCATTTAATCATGTGGCAACAGGAAAAAAACTCGTTTTTTTAATAGACACAGGTGCAGACATTTCAATTCTAAAAGAAAATTCTGATTTTTTCAATTACATTCAAAATGACAATAGAATCAATATTCAAGGTATAAGCCAAGAAGTTATAAAATCTAAAGGCTTAAGCTCATTTGAGATACAGACAGATCAATACATAATTCCACACAATTTCCATATAGTAGTTATGCATTTTAAAAAAAATATAATTGTCAATTAGATTTTAAGCCAACGAAGATTGGTTTGTAATTATACCTAATAACTAACATACAGTTCTGGTAATAACTCAATATTATTACCAGCAAGATCCCAAGTGGTCCGAAAAATCACTATAGCCTCAAGTGAAGAAAGTGTACTAATTTCAAACCAGGAAATTCAAGCTGGTATCTACGTTGCAAATACTATTGCAACTTCTCAAAACACATTTCTCCGACTTCTAAATACAAAAAATACAGATCAATTAGTTGATATAAATGACTTAGAATGTGAATCACTTTCGAACTACGATGTGGTTCAAACAAACACGAAAACCAGAGAACAAACTGTCATATCCCAATTATCTAAAAATTTTCCACCACAATTCAAATCACAGTTATCAAAGTTATGCAATAAATATACAGACATATTCGGACTTGAAACCGAATCTATATCAACAAATAATTTTTACAACCAGAAATTGAGATTGAAGGATGATGAGCCAGTTTACATAAAAAATTATGGAAATCCTCATAGCCATTTACAAGAAATTCAAGCTCAAGTACAAAAGTTAATTGACGACAAAGGTGTTATCTGATAAGTTTCCACTCCCAAGAATTGATGATATTTTAGATCAACTAGGTAAAGCAAAATATTTTTCATGCCTCGACTTACTGTCGGGTTTTCATCAAATTTAACTTGAAAAAAGTACAAGAGATATAACGTCCTTTTCAACTAGCAATGGCTCATATGGCTTCACGCGACTACCATTTGGTTTAAAGATAGCGCCTAATTCTTTCCAGAGAATGATGACTATAGCATTTTCTGGACTAAAACCGTCTCAAGCATTCCTTTATATGGATGATCTAGTAGTTATTGGTTGTTCCGAAAAGCATATGCTTTAACTAATGTTTTTGACAAATGCAGGAAAAACAACATGAAACTACATCCTGAAAAATGTTCATTTTTTATGCATGAAGTCACATTTTTGGGACACAAATGCACAGATAAAGGAATCTTGCCAGATGACAAAAAATACGATGTCATTCAAAATAACCCAGTTCCGCATGATGCGAATAGCGCGAGACGTTTCATTTCATTCTGTAATTACTACAGACGATTTATTAAAAATTTTGCAGACTATTCAAGGCACATAACTAGATTATGTAAGAAAAATATTCCATTCGAATGGACCGATGACTGCCAAAATGCATTCTTACACTTAAAATCTCAGCTTATAGAACCAACTCTGTTACAATATTCAGACTTCAGCAAAGAATTTTGCATAACAACAGATGCAAGCGTGTGGTGCTGTTTTAACTCAAAACCACAATGGCCACCAACTTCCAGTTGCATACGCATCTAGATCATTTACAAAAGGTGAAAGTACCAAGAGCACAACTGCACAACAAATTAGCAGCTATTCATTGGGCAATAAACCATTTTAGACCCTATATTTACTGTAATCATTATCATCACTTACCTATTCTCAATGATTAACCCGAGCTCAAAATTAATACGTATGAGACTTCAATTGGAGGAATATAATTTTACAGTAGAGTATCTAAAGGGTAAAGATGATTATGTAGCTGATGCGTTATTATGGATAAATATCAAAGAATTAAAAGAAATTACAGGAAATATTAAAAAAGTCACCAATATATGATGTTAGCGATTTATATACTAATGGAATTCTTGACTTAGGTCAGTTCTTCCAAAGGCTTGAAATGCAAGCCGGTAAAAAAGTCATAGAACTTTTAATGAATACATACATATCAGTTGATAAAACTGATTGGGACGTATGGCTTCAATATTTCGTTTACTGTTTCAACACGACCCCCTCTATGGCACATACTTGTTGTCCATATGAGTTAGTATTTGGAAAAAACAAACAACTTACCAAAACAATTCAATAGTATAGATAGCATAGAATTAATTTATAATATAGACGATTATGCTACGGAAAGTAAATTTAGATAAGAGGTAGCATATAAATGAGCTAGGACTATACTTGAAGAGCATACGAGAAAGAATAAAGAAATATATGATTTAAAAACATATAACATAGAATTATGATAGGAGATTTGGTTTTATTAAAAAATGAAATAGGACATAAATTAATAAACACAAGCCGTACATAAGGATAAATTAAAAATTTACCATTCACAACCAACTTTATCAATCATTAAGAAAAATTAAAAATATATATATATATAATTAGCACTTGCAAAAATATACAATAAACATATATTTAACAAAAAAAAAATTCTGTGTATTGTAATGTACAATTTTAATTAAAAATAACTACACTAGTTTACGTAATTTTTCAAAAGGAGGGAGATGTGGTATGCGCACATATCGAATGCTCACTGTACTCAATATATTAGTCAATATATTACCCAATATATGTACAGTCCAATGTATTACACATATATACAACTCATAACATAAAAACACACTGTAGCACTTTCTTGCAGTATTTACATAAATACCCAAATCCAAGTGCGAGTGAAATATGATAACCCACTTATGCTCCATGTATCATAAATGCAGAGTCAGCGATCCCACGCTGACCGCCTAGCTATGTACATGCATATGTTCTCATAACATACTCTCTCTCTCTTAGCGCTGTTAATAACATTAATCTATAAGATATATATTGTTTGGTCAGTTAACAGCAGAGACAACACCGACGGCTGCGGGCAGCAGCCAACAGCAGAAGTTAACAAGCATAATTACAGCCTAAGAGCAAATAGTTCTTGCGCGCTCTTTGTAAGCTGCTGCCCACTCTCTTCGTTGGCCCGTTGCTGTCTGCATTGCTTGCATTGATTCCCGCTGCCCTTCGCTCTAAGCGGCGATCGTCTTATTGGAGTTTCGTTTCGTTCGCTTTACATATTGTTAAAGTTTTTAGTTTTTCGTTTTATCGCAACCTAGGCACAACTAATTCGAGTTGGCTGCCAAGCAACAATATAAAACTTATAAATTCTGATAAGTGCCCTGCGCGGCAAAACAAATACATTTAAAAACAAATCTAAGTTTTTGAATTTCGCTGCACTCAAGCAGTGTGAATGAATTAGTTGCAAAAAAGCTTGCAACTACACAGATTGGTGACCCCGACGTGATCTCTCTATTTCTTATTTATAATTTCGTTTGTGTACCTTTACAAGCTAAAGTTGTTCGTTAAGTGCTACGCGCCTCAACAAACAATTTATCAATTTTGAGCACAACTGTGGTGAACCGTTTGCTTGCGCATCTGCATACAGTTAGTTGTTATACATAAACGCCATAGCAAAATCCCAGTTAATCGTTGCGCGCTATAACCAGCTATTCGCAATCTCGCTCGACGAACACTTGTGCGCGCAGACTTGTATTGTAGTTCGGCTGTGTGAACTTTGTTGTGCGCTCCATTCCTCCATTCATAATGTTTGATGAAGGTGCAAGTGCAAATGGAAATGATGAGGCGCATCAGCTAATCAAGTGGAGTTTGCTGCTGTTCTTAAAATAAAGATTAAGAATTTAAGTGATCGACTAAATAGATTGTCCTCTGAACTTGATCCCGCTCGACTTCGCGATGTTGATGACTATGAGCTCCAAGATTACATAAGCATGGCATCTGACTTGCAGGCGAAATTTGAAACAATCTATGATAGTTTGTTAGATGTGAGTCATGCCAGCGTTGAAGAGGATCTTCAGACAAGGTTTGAGGCAACTATTAGGCAGCTACCGGTTTCCCTTCAACGCGAGCGCGGAAATCTAAGCAAGGTTCAACAGATTCCGCATTGTTCCACTTTCAATACCTTTGTTGTTCCAAGCCACTCTCGATTGCGTCAACTTAAATTGCCGGAGTTCAGTGGAGGCTACACAGAATGGGCTGATTTCTCGAACATTTTCACCACGATCATTGACAAAGATCCGTATTTGACCAACATTTAAAAACTCCAGCATCTACGGTCATGCCTTAAAGGAACAGCACTGGATACAATTCGCATCATTGGAAATGTCAAACGCTAATTATGCTGCCGCTTTAGAACTGCTTGATAAGCGTTTTAATAACAAGCGTCTTATTTTTCAGGCACACATCGCTGAAATTTTGGGTTTGAGAAAGGTGGATAAGGGCGCGACGACACAACTGCGCGAATTTTCAGATAAGGTCAACTCTCATCTAAGTGCGGTTTACAACTTTCATCGAGAGGCGTTGCCAAAGGCTGGAAAATGCGGATCTCGCTACGGCAATGTACACGCCTAGCTCCCAGGTAGGCCAGAGCAACAGTAGTAGAAGAACGTTTGTAGTGACTAAAAATAGAACGAGTGCTTGTGTATTTTTTGAAGTCGCAGGCCATTCTATTTATAAATGTTTGCAATTCGCAAATTTATCGCCCTCGCTGAGCCTTCACGAAGCCAAGCGGCTTGCGCTTTGCCTAAACTGCCTGCAAAGGGGACATCAGCTGAGAGTCTGCGGCTCCAGCGCTTGCAGAGTTTGTGGAAGCAAGCATCATAGCTTGTTGCATCTTGGCAACCCAAGCAGTCACACCGCTGCGTCTAGCTCAAACAATGCTCAAGATACCGAAACTTATTAGTCATCCCAAAATACCGTGACGGCAATTTTATCTTCGCCACTCATTACCGCCCACCATCCCAAGCACGATGTTGTCCTGCTTGCTACTGCCGTCATCAATGTGAAAAATCGCGCTGGCTCCTTGGTGCCCTGCCGTGCGTTGCTCGACTCAGTTGCACATCATTACCTCTCGTCTTGCTCATCACCTCCAGCTGCGCAAATTCAAATCAACAGCAATCGTCTCTGGCATTGGTGATTCAGCATTTGCGTCCGATGGTTTTTCTGTCAACATCAATGTCAAATCTCGAGTATCGGAGTACTCCACATGCATCCCGGCGTTGATTGCACCATCCATCACCGATAATCAGCCTGGTTTTACTCTTGACCCTGCATCGTGGAACATTCTATCAAATATACAACTAACTGATCCTGAATTCTTTAAATCACAGCAAATCCACATGTTGATTGGAGCCAGTCTGTTCTTCGATCTGCTATGCGTCGGCCAGATTAAACTAGCTGCTGGACTGCCGATATTGCAAAAGACTTGCTTTGGTTGGGTGGCTACGGGAGGTGCTTCACATGTAGGAAAATCATCACTCGTGGCAATTAGATCAATGGTGAATCCAGCTTTGCTGGTAGATTCGCATCTGCAGCCGAATGCACAGATTGATGAATTAATCTGTCGTTTTTGGGAATTGGAATGCTGCACCGAACCTGAGTCCTTACCAAACAAGGAGGAACGCGAGGCACAATTTCAGGCCAATTTTAAACGTCTTTCGACTGGCGACTATTCAGTTCGATTACCGCTCCGATTAGGCATGTATCAGCTGGGTGACTCCTATCAACAGACGCTTCGTCGATTCCTGAACTTAGAAAGAAAACTAGACCGCAATCCAGTTTTGAAAACCCAGTATGCAGCATTTATCAAGGAATATCTTGACTTGGGTCATATGTCACTTGTTATCTTAGCTGCACTGGGCCAATGCAAGTACTACCTGCCACATCACGTGCTGAAGGAGGATAGCACTATAACCAAGCTAAGAGTCGTGTTTGGTGGATCGGCAGCTTCTACCTCTGGACTGAATGATGCACTGAAAGCAGGTCCTCCCATCCAACCCAAGCTGTTTTCGATACTGATGCGGATTCGTACATTTGCAATCGCCCTGACAGGCGATATATGCAAAATGTATCGATGCGTACGAGTCGAACCCGCAGACAGTTATTTTCAATGTATCCTGTGGCGTGAATCTCAGCATCAGAAGATACAGACTTACAAATTAGACACCGTCACCTACGGCACAAAACCAGCATCGTTTCTCTCAGTGAGAGCTATGCACCAACTGGCCATGGATGAGCAGAAAACATTCCTTATTGGCTCTGACATTGTTAAAAGAGACTTCTACGTGGATGATATCATTTCTGGTGGTAGCTGTGTTCAAGAAGCAGTTGAGATATTGAAGCAAACGTCTGGACTACTCGCCAAGGGGAACTTTAAGCTGCGAAAATGGTGTTCTAGCGACACAACTGTACTTCAAAACATTCCGGAATAGGATAGTGAATCGCTGCTGAAGTTTTTTTTTAAGAGAGTTTGTTCGCCTAGCTGCAACGGATATTTGCTTATATTTAAAAATTTTTAAATCGAATACGAGGAGCTGAACTAACTTTGGACCACGTGCATCATGGCACACATTGGCTGCTGCGGTCAGTGCAAATGGATACTCTTAGCGATGACTACAAGGCACTGAAGGATAGAAGGCATGTCAAACCATCTAGCTCAATGGCCTCTCTTGCACTATTAATTGACGACATTGGCCTACTCCGGATCGGTGGACGGATAAAAAACTCGTCGTTGGACTTCTCAGCGCGATTATATTTCACCGTCAGCATCCTGTGACGCGAGCAATCATATTTCACTTTCATAAACGGAACTTACAACTTATTGTCTTCGATTCGGCTCCAGTACTGGCCCATTGGCGGTCGTAAAACAGTATTGTTGCCAAAGGCACAATCTGCTTTCGTGCTGGCGTTGATTACTGTGGACCATTTTACTACAAGAGTGAAGTGCGCAACAGGTCACCAGTGAAATGCTATATCAGTCTCTTCATATGCTTCGCTACAAAGGCGGTGCAATTAGAGCTTGTAAAGGATTTGTCCACAACATCGTTTCTAAACGCCCTAAAACGGTTCATCCTGACTCGCTCTCGACCTTCAAGGATCTGGTCCGACAATGCGACAAACTTCGCAGGTGCCAAGAATGAACTAGCAGATCTGAGCCGCCTGTTCCTGAGTGACGAGCATATCAAGGCTGTTCACGAGTTTTGCCTATCCGACTCAATTGAATGGCTGTTCATCACTCCTCGGTCTCCGCACTTTGGCGGACTATGGGAAGCCACTTTTATCGATCTGTTGGCCCTTCCATTTTGGATTTCGAATCGCTGCGCACGCTCGTCACCACATCACGGCAATTATTAACTCTCGACCATTACTTCCACTTTCAAAACATTTAGGTGATCTTTTCGTCTTGACACACTTCCTGGGTACAGCGCCATCTTCATCATACATTGAGCCCGATCTAAGGCAGCTTAACTTCAATCGGCTTAACTATTTTCAGCGCGTCACATATCTCCAACAAGTATTCTGGGCCCGTTGGCGTGAAGAATATTTAAAGCTTCTTCAACAGCGCTCCGATGTTGTCCTTGTAAAGGATGAGAATCTACCGCCGCTGATGTGGCCACTATCTAGAGTGCAAGAGCTGATCTCTGGATCTGATGGGGTATCCAGAGTTGCTGTGCTTCAAACTGCGACTGGAGTCATACGCAGAGCTGTACGAAAGCTGTGTTTGCTGCCCAAACATGATGATGTAGAAAGCCCTTGCCTTCCAACGGGGGGAGAATGTTTGGTCAAGTAACAGCAGAGACAACACCGACGGCTGCGGCAGCAGCCAACAGCAGAAGATAATAAGCATAATTACAGCTGCTGGCCACTCTCTTCGTTGGCCCGTTGCTGTCTGCATTGCTTTGCTTTGCATTGATTCCCGCTGCCCTTCGCTCTAAGCGGCGATCGTCTTTTTGGAGTTTCGTTTCGTTCGCTTTACATATTGTCATAGTTTTTAGTTTTTCGTTTTATCGCAACCTAGGCACAACTAATTCGAGTTGGCTGCCAAGCAACAATATAAAACTTATAAATTCTGATAAGTGCCCTGCGCGGCAAAATAAATACATTTAAAAACAAATGTAAGTGTTTGAATTTCGCTGTAATCAAGCAGTGTGAATAAATTAGTTGCAAAAAAGCTTGCAACTACACATATATAATGTCTTTTCCCTTTAGATATTCTACAGTGAACTCATACTCTTCTAAATCTAATCTCATTCTAAATAAGTAGATAAGTTAGTGGTCTGTGATCTGTTTTAATAGTGAAATGTTGACCATATATGTATGGTCAAAAATGGGTTATTGCCCAGTGAATTGCTGCTAACTCTTGTTCTGTGGTATTTTTGTTGATTCACCTTTTGTGAATGAACTTGAAGCGTATGCTACTGGTGATTGCTTATCACCATAAGTTTGAGTTGGGACTGCTCCGCAAGCTTCTTTACTTGCATTCGTTATTATACAAAATTCTTTGCTTAAATCGGGATACCTTAGTAAAGTGGGGTTCATTAGAGCTTTCCTTAAGTATTCGAATGCGTTTTGAAATTCGGTAGACCATTCAAATTTTATTCTTTTTGCATAGTCTTGTTATATGACGTGAATAGTCTGCAAATTTTTTGATAAAATGTCTGTAATAATTGCAAAATACAACAAATCGTCTAGAGCTAGTCTTTACATCTGGTAAAATACCTTGATCAGTGCACTTCGTGCATGAAAAAGAGCATTTATCAGGATGTAGTTTAAGGTTGTGTTTCCGAAATAAGTCAAAAACGCATGTTAAGTTTTTGATCATATAATTTTCGGAACAACCGATGACTATTAGGTCATCGATGTACAAGAAAGCTTATGAAGGATCTAATTCAGAAAAAGCGATGGTCATCATTCTTTGAAAAGAATTAGGCGGTATTTTTAGACCATATGGTAATCGTTTTCTAGAATTTTCTTCTAATTCTATTTGGTAAAAACCGGACATTAAATCTAAGCATGAGTACTATTTTGCTCTGCCTAGTTGGTCAAGAATATCATCTATTCTTGGAAGTGGAAATTTGTCGGACAAGAGTTATTTGTTAATTTGACGATATTCTATAACTAATCGCTATCTTTTGGTATCGGATCGTGGTAGACCTTTTTTTGGTACAAGGAGTATTGGACTGTTATATTCTGATACGGAAGGTTCTACTATTTCACATCTTCCTTATGAGTATGAAGTATTCTGTACTTGTTCATGTACAATGGTTCTTTGTCTTTTAATCTTAACTCTTGCTTTTAAAAATTGTTGGTTGTTATAGATTCGGTTTCTAATCCGAATACATCTGTATACTTGGTGCAAGGCTCTTTTAGTTTTGACTTTAAATAATGGTGGAAAGTTTTTAACTAGTTATTTCATAACATTACTTTATCTTTCTTCGTTAATTTCATTGACTATTTCGTTTCAAATCATTTAACGTTTCAAATTTGATTTGGTTTAAGTTGACTTTTTTAACTGAATTAGTTGTATTTAATATTTGGACAAATGTATTTTTGTTATTGCAAATTGTATTTCCAATGAAAATTCCGTCGTCAATTTCTTGATTTGGCATTAAAACATGATTTTGCATGGAAGGTATTCTTATTTGACGGACAACTTCGGAACGTGCTGGTAGTATTGTGGCATTATTGTCACAAGTGTGAATTATTGGTAGTTGAATCGGATAATTTAGGTTGTTCGGAAGAAGTATTAAGGAGTCATTAGTTTGTGTAAAATGCCGTCACTAGGTATTGGGAAATTTTGTTCGACTAAATGGAATTCATGCGCAATGACGTGTTTACCTGTAGGGAGCTCTACAAATGCAAACCTTTTGAAAAACTGAGCCTTCACCAATTCTTGATATTTGAGTGGTTTTGTTATGTCGAATGTATCGACATTTTCTTTTAATATTGAAATGTCTACACCAGTATCTAATAACAAGGTAAATTGTTCTTTTTCATTATTAATTTATATGAATATGTTGTAACCCCAGGAATTTCCTCTGAAATTTCCTCTATTATTGTTATTATGATTGGGATTATAGAGGCCATTGCCTCTTTGGGTATTACGGTTATTATTAACTCTATAATTTTTTCCTCGCTGGTATATAGCTATAGATTATTTGTAGCGAATTTTTCCACATTATCAGGGTCTAGGCCGTCGTCAACCTTTTACAAGATTGGGCCTGTTATCTTTGATTTGATAACTTCGACTGCTAAGTTTTCTTGTTCGCCTATTGTTTGTCAACAATGCGCCAGGCTGTGAGAAAACGATTTAGTGAGTTTTTACTCATCTCTATATGTAAGCCTAATAAGTGCGTCTATATCTGACATATTCTGGTTTGTTTTTATTTTATTTTAATATATTCAGACCTTATCTAGTCCGTCTGCTCTACTGCTATAGTGTTTCTTAATTTTCTTTGTATGCATTGCATACACCTTCAATGCTAGTGATACGACAGTGATTATGATTAACAAAATTGAAAACGGTTGCAAATTGTTAATGAATTTTATACTTTCATTATATTTTATATAGTATATCTTTTATTTTGTAATTTAATATTATAATCTTTCGCAGTTAATTAATTAACAATTTTTGGTTTTTATTTTAAATATTATATTAAGCTTCTGCCTTAATATGCCTTTCTATTTGTGTTAATGATATTACCCTACTTCGATCAACGCAGTGATCTCCTCTCTAATGAGCGTACAATTTTTCAGGTTTTACTCTGCCTTGACGCACACAACAAAGTGGGCGTCATTAAAATGTTATACAAAATTTTAAATTATCTTAATTAATGCTGCTGCTGCTGCTGTGATGTTGTTGTTTCTTCTTATTTGACTGCCTTGGAACGGTTAGCGTTGCCGGTGCAGGTCATCGCACAGGTCGGGCCGTTGAGAGGTCCAGTCGTCAGGGCATCTCTTATTGGGTGAACAGCAGGTGTAACGGCTTCTGCATTTGTTTTAGTGCTTTTTAATTCTTTGATGGTTTTTCTTGATAACGCATCTGCAACAAAATTGTCTTTTCCCTTTAGATATTCTACAGTGAACTCATACTCTTCTAAATCTTATCTCATTCTAGTCAACTTTGAACTGGGGTTTACCATTGAAAATAGATAAGTTAGTGGTCTGTGATCTGTTTTAATAGTGAAATGTTGACCATATATGTATGGTCGAAAATGGGTTATTGCCCAGTGAATTGCTGCTAACTCTTGTTGTGAGGTATTTTTGTTGGATTCACCATTTGTGAATGAACGTGAAGCGTATGCTACTGGTGATTGCTTATCACCATAAGTTTGAGTTGGGACTGCTCCGCAAGCTTCTTTACTTGCATTCGTTATTATACAAAATTCTTTGCTAAAATCGGGATACTTTAGTAAAGTGGGGTTCATTAGAG